GGGTAGGGATAAAGGGAGGGATAAAGGGCGGATGCGGATACGGATGCGGATGGCGGATACGGATGCGGATGAGAAAATACGGATGAGAAAATGCGGATGGGGGATAAAACGCGGATGGGAAAATGCGGATGGGGGATAAAACGCGGATGGGAAAATGCGGATGGGGGATAAAACGCGGATGGGAAAATGCGGATGGGGGATAAAACGCGGATGGGAAAATAATAATAATAATAATAAATAATAATAATAAATTATAATTTAATAATTTCTATTATACTGACAATTATTTGCGAAATTAAAGGGACAATGTCACCCATATTTGACTAAAAAATGCATTTTATTTACAGTCTGAACTGCAATTCTGAAAATAAACATCGTAAATGGATTTATTTATGACATAAGAGTAATATTAAACGACTTTGGGCTTCCACATCAACATGTAAGACGACGTTTTCATACAAATTGACCTAAACTTGAAAAAGTGTCTGCCAACAATTAATTAAGATGGTATTTACAATCCATTTCAATCCTCGCATAATCTTAACCATCCGTACTTCTGTACACGCTTTTTGTGTTTGTTATTGCTTTATTTTGTAATTACAGTCATTCTTTCTCAGTTTTGTACAAGTTTTGAGAGAGTCAGAATTCCTCAAAAATCGGTGACATTGCCCCTTTAAAATGGGATGAAACTTGAAACTCTGGCAAAATATTCATTTCAGAAAGATCTTAATTTTATTAAGAAATTGGGAGTCAAAATTCGCAATAGTTTGCTTGGAAATGAAGGAAATGCAAATTTTGTCGCGGTTTTTTTTAAGAATCAAACCGTGAAACCGGGGCAAACTATATATCGTTTTAAAAAGGAAATAATAGACAAGGAATTTTATTAGAAAGGGTGGTAACACTTTCGCAAATTTATATTTTGAAATAAGGTTGCGCACCCCCGCCAAATGTCAAAAAAAACCCCGCCGTAGAGAAAGAATTCCCAAAATACAACTCCCGGCCAAACTGAATTATGATTCTGCTGCAAATAAATTTTGCATTTCAATTTTATTCACGTGGATTAAACACATGTACAACAAATTTATAGCAGGTCGATTCTTGAGACTTGTAAATCGTTCATACATTATCAAGTAGATATGTCATCAGTGCTACTTTTACATCATTATAATAGTACATAATGTAAAATATTTCTTGTACAGAAACGTTAAACGAACTAACAAGTGAATAAAAAATGAAAAAACCTCCATGCATAAGTACATATATGTCCGATATAACGTCAAAATGTACATTGTGTATGCACAACATCTTATGAACGACAACGAAAGTCAAATGAAAGAATTACAGTTAGTTAATATTTAAACCAAATTGCCGTAAGATTTGTAAATGCTCTGGGCGTAGATATTGCAGAAGCCAATTTGGAAGTAAAGTTATTTGCGGATCAAAGTAAGGTTGCTTCATCCCGACGCAATTTCGATTAAGATGAAAGTAAACATTCCCCTCCTTGTACATTATTTCATTGCTTTGATTTGCGTGAAAACCTCTTTTCATTCTCGACACGATGACTAGATCATATGGTGGACGAGCGATGAGACCATCCGGTTTTAATGCCTGGGAGCATCCATAACAGGAACGTACCATAGGTGAGCAAAACTGCAAGAGATATAAAATAAATTCTCCTACCTTCGGTGTTGGTGGTCCAGGGAAAGCCACGGAGGGTGGTAGTGTTTGAGCAGACGGCACCTGTGAAGGTCCAGAGAAAGACACGGAGGGTGGTAGGGTGGTAGTGTTTGAGCAGACGCCATCTGTGAAGGTCCAGGGAAAGCCATGGAGGGTGGTAGTGTTTGAGAAGACGCCATCTGTGAAGGTCCAGGGAAAGCCACGGGAGGTGGTAGAACTGGAGATGATGGAATCTGGGAGGCTGTTGAGACTGATAATCCATCGGAAGACAAATTACCGGCATTCCCATAAAACGACCGATCAATAATGGTTGTGACCTCCGGTTGGTTAGCAGTTCTACCACCCTTGCGTCGAGCTGTGGCTGCTTTACCTCCCTTTTTTCCAGTACCACTGCTGCTGTCGAAAGTCATCATAGCGGTTACGTTCATTCTCGCAGGACCTTTTTCGCGAAGCCACTTTAAGTACTTTGCAGTTACACCTACTTTCTCTGCAACAGCAATAGCATGTGAACAGATCTTGGACGCTTTCCAGGCTGGACACTCTTCGCAAGTCACTTTCCCGTTTTTGCATACATCCACATAGTGCGGTCTTTTCGATGTCTGGCTTTCCACCATATAGGCGATCTTATCGGACGTGCCTGGAGCACAAACAATTGAACCTTCGCAATTCAAGAGTTTTTCAGCCTTTTCGGTGATGGAGGTTAAGACAGCCGGTTGGACAGATCTGATACTTTCGTCTCCCAGATCGACTGAAAGTTGGACCAGCTTCGCTGGAGGAGGTACGTCTGAACATGCGTCATCTGTGTTATCACGACCTGTTGAGGGGATGCAATCTATATTTGCTTCATTCGACATTCTTTTCGCATGAAATCTTTTTAGATGCGCTTCCCGTTGTTTTGTATTCATCTTAAACCAATCACTTTGTGACACTTCAAAGGAGGAAAAAGCAGGTGCCAAACGGTAAGGACCCTTATTAATAACTGCGGAATCCACATCCTCTTTTTGTCGAGAGAGTAAGATGCCCATCTCATGGCAAAAATCTGCAATTTCGTTTTGTCGAAAATTAACACCGCGTTTTATAAGAGCGTTAGCGGACTCGGGAATGTTCGTATAATATGGAATAGGGGGATCACCCAAACCAGCATTCCTGCGAGCTTCCTTCAACATACTCTCATTCATCATTTCCACCTATAAATATGTGGAAGGTAATGTTAGACACCATGAACTAAAAGTACATGCATATAAACAAGCAGCTTTGCTTGCTACTACTGATGGGTGTTTTCCCCTCTGGAAGGTACTGTTGTTCGTTGGAGTTCCACACTTCTTTTAAAGAGAGTAGTTTTGCTCGAAGGTCGTCCTCGTCATCGGCGTCGAGAAGTCCTTTGGCGAAAAGTTAATGTTATGTTAATAGATTTGAATTTGAAAACCAGCTGTAAAATTTCTGATTTTCATATACTAGTGCGCAGATTTTCACACAAAAGATTTCCTCGCTTACACGCGTAAAAATCATCATGTTGATGCAAGTTGTTCACAACAGGAGCGAACAATGTTGTGCTGCACCCCGTGAACAATATTGTTAACAATGTTGTTGAACCATCAACGTTGTTGCAACTTGTTGACAATCATGTTATCAACTTGCAACAATATTGATGATTGAACAACTCGGAACAACTTGTTAACAATATTGTTCACGGGGTGCAGCACAACATTGTTCGGATCTGTACAAAATGTGGCGACGTCATGCAACTGCCAATCAAACCCTAAGACACATCGCATTTCGGGAGTTCCTATAACTTCCCGTATGAACGGCTGTTCATCACGTTGCAGCTGTTGTCTCTTGCACTGTTCCAAAAGAATTAGCAGTGAATCTACATTGTCGTAGCTCTTTGGATTTGTATGTCCGCGCCTGTGGTATTTCGCCTGTGCACGATTTCGGGGTAGATCACTGATTGAGGAAGCCTTCGTTACGCCACCTTGCTCCTCTTGAGCATCCTGATATGCGTTCTTTGGAGTTTGAGACAAGGATTTACTTTTCAACGTGCTTACTGTGCTCTCCTTGATTCTTACATAAGGAGTAGAGTGTTTTCTCTTGCAGTTTCCATGCACCATGGGTTCGATTGAATGCTCTTTCCCGTCAAAGAGATACTGAATGAAAATCCATCTGGGGAAACCTGCCAAAAAATGAGTAATATTTCTGAGATTTTTCATGTCATTGATTGCTCGCGATGGAAAGACGCTATAACATACATTCTATGCAAATGACAGTTTTTGAAACACCTTTTTACAAAATTTAGCTATGGGCGAAGAAACTATGAATTATTACGTTTTTTACATATGTTCCCATTATCATCACTGTTTTTCATGATCTTATCTTCACAAAACTACAAATGTTGATATGCATGATTTCGCAAAACTTTCTACATTTTCGCATAATGCTTCAGTCAACTGACACCATGGCCCCCCAACCCCCGGGACATTGCGGGGAATTAACAAAATTTAGCGGGGATTTAACGCTATTTAACAACGTACTATGCCCGGGAGGGCGTCGTATAAGTCATTTTTAGTATATTAATTTGTGAATTTGGATGCAATTTTAATATATTATTTCGATAAATATTATTTCAAAACATTCTCCTCGTGATATAGGAAAATAAAAACAAACTATTGTTGTCGGGAATTAAAACTTGTGCTATCTTGTACAAAAACTTAAAAGGCTCAAATTTGAGCAAGGAAAGGCGAGAAAATACACTAAATTTTCATCGCCAGTTCGGTTGCTATCCCGTTGCTAAGGAAAAACACAACTGACCAATCAGCGACGATTTTGGTTGAAGGCCGTATAAATTATGCCGGGATTTAAACCAGGGGTTTAAAGGATGTGGACTGGGGCGAGTCAATAAAAACAAGAAAGTGTTCAATCTTTAGCCATCCGTTGCTTTCAATACTCAAATATTATCAGGCATCGTCATTTCCATTGTTTGGATAAACTTTACCTTTTATAACTTAAGTTGCATTGGTAATTTGACACGCACCAAAGTCCTGAGGCATTATTAAAATATCAATATGTCATTCTCAATTTTTCAATATCAAGAATATTTTGACCGGCAGTCTTTTAAACCTCAGTCCTTCTCTCGCTCCCTCTAAGATCTCCCACTAAATCCCGGCTATGCCGGGGTTTTAACAGACTAGCCCGAGGGACGGGAGAAATAATGTATATACACAGGACCCTTTTGAAAACCACATTATGTGATATTGGCCGCCTGTATAAAGAATTTTTATAAATAAATAAATGTTTTTTTAACACTTTGTTGATGTTAAATTCCCTGCTATATCCCGGGGGTTGGGGGCTGTGTTGTCAATTGACTGAAGCATAATGGATGGGCTATCCTGTTAATTTGTGTGAAGCACAAGCATTGCTGCTTTTTTACCTTCTATAAACGAGGCACACTTTTTTAGATCAGGAGCAGAATTATTCTTGAAATATGTTCTTTTGACGATATACTGTATCCCTTCCTTCAAAGGATCGTCGACGTCAACTGGCAACACCTCTCCTTCATCAAGGCAAAAACGCTGGCGTTGAACACCGTTGTTTTTCCACGAACCCAGATCGTCGCACTTCCAGTCGTTGTCGTTTTTCAGTGATGATCGGTCGAGTAGAAAGCATGCGTTGTGTTGAATAGCAGTTGGAACCTTCTTGCATATCAAAGTATCGTCAATCGGCTTCAGGAGTGTTTCCAGAATTTCGGCTGGACATTTAATTGTCGTTGTCCACTCGTATACCGGGAGAGATTCGTCCCCATTATAATGCTGTCCTGGAAGTCTAAACGCCATCAAAGAATATGCAACTGTCGGATTGACATCGACATAAGCATCGAGAGAAGAGTTTAGCTGGGGTGGGGGGTGGGGGTGTTGTTATCAGACCGACCAATTGCTGATAGAGACTTCACTATGACATATATGGAAAAAAAGTGGTGTAACTTTTCGAAGTATGCACATTTGGGGGGGGGGGTGTGTTTCTTTATGCAAATGGGGATCCTCCCCTCAGAAATGTTTTGTATTGTTGAGCGCCCTAGCCTTATTTTTGTGCAATTTCAATCTGATTTTTGCTCTTTTTAAGACAAATATTTGGTTCATAATCAAATTCGCCATATGCAAGACAAGTGCAAATAAAATGTGAGCTGTGTACTTACAAGGTTGCTACATTAGAGTTTGCAGTTTCCAACAGTAGTTGACGCCGACAGTCTCCAAACATATTTTGGTGGTCCCCTAGTTTTGTGTTTGTTGCATCAGGCGAATTAATCCTTATATACATCAGATACATTATACCGAATAACATGCAAGATTTACCTGTTGCTTTGTGTTGGTTTGTCAAAAGCAGGTGGTAAACTGTCATTGCTAATATCCGAATCCGATGTCTTAGAACTATCAGACTCCACATCATCTGCAACCATTTTTCTTGAGAGTTAGAAAGAGATACAAGTCAAATCTATACGATCAAATCAATTTCCGAATGGTACGAGTATACGTGCCCATTATAGGCAAGAACTAAGATTACATTCATTTTATTGTGCATGGGGGAGCATTGATATATTTCATGAAACAATTTTTTAAATCATGATTTGTATATTTATCCCTGCCGAAGGAAGAATTAAAAATTAAAGTCTGATTGTGTACGTATAGCGTATACTTACTTTTTATTGAAATCATTCAAATCACTTTGGCAAGTATCGCTGTCGTCAGGCGAGTCGTCAATCGTTATCTATGTCGAAAGGAAAATGTTAAAATAGTACAAAAATTTCTTTTAGTACAAAAACTGTTCGAGCTGTAAAAACTATGGAAAATAACAGTCTTCCAGATGAGCTATAAGATTTAGTCTTATACGATTTATATGAATCTATAATCAGTCTAAGATATAAAGCTATATAATACACCACCTGTTCAACTTGATTTTCATGTAGTATTTCGATATCATTATCATCATCGAACTCATCAGATGTGTCATGATGCGGCCTCTGCACTTTGAAAGATTCACTAGATTGCGCACAGAAAACATAGAACTTGTTGAACAGAATGTTAAACATAGAACAGAATGTTTAAATTTAGGTTTCCATTTCCAACCATAAATCTTTTGTTTTCACCATCAGAGGAATTTCCAAGGATTTTTTTTTATTTGGATCAATTCCCCCTGACCCTATTTTATTCAGATTTATGTGGTAATTCAGAACTTTTTTTAGAAATCCCCCTCCCCCCCCCCTTCCCCACAAAATGAAATATTGAGGTGGCTCGATGTGTAGTAAAACATCGTTTTGAGCAATAATATCATGAAGTTTAAGTGTATTACTGACATTACTGGCTGTTAAACCGAGATAATTTGTCAGCGTTTTCAATGGTTGTATTTCCAAAACAAGATATTTAACAGACGAAAAAGATATGAACGAAAAACGAGACGAAGAAAAGTTATGAATATATAATTAGGTGTTATAGTTTCAAACGGCTATGAATCGCTTGTATTATGTTCTATACTACAAAAATCTAGCTTATATTACTAGTATTTGCATGCTGATTCTGAGGCTGGTCTAGTTTGATCTTGATATAAAATACACTGAAATTAGTAACCGACAAAATCATAGTCTCTACTAGTACAGTAGTACTCTAGATTCGGCGTCGGCAAAAATTATATTTTGACACCTTAGCAACACAGTCGAAATTACCAAAACTGCCGGTTCTCCTTGAATTTTGAAGTTATGGACCAGGAAATATATCTATGAAGAGAGATTTTGACGACGATTTCGATGGTGGTATTGCCAAAACAAGACTTTTCACAAAAGAAAAGTTATCAACGAAATTATATATTTAATTTACTTTCACGCAGGTTATGAATCCCGCGTATTATGATTTATGTTGTCTACTAGTCTACAGAAATTTAGCTGACGACTGAGCTGATATAAACTAGAAAATTCGAACGGTTGTACGTTTATCTTGATAGCGTACACTGAACCGAAGTTAAGAGCTTTCAAACTTATAGAGCACACGGGGGTCAAAAGACTATACCACCTGCTGGCAAAAAGTTAAATTTTTTTGAACAAAAATACCGCGCAGACTCTGACTACCTCGGAAGTAATACTGTATAATTATATAGTTTAAACTATATAGTTAGTCCTAGAATATACTAATACAATGGCTACGTACCTGCTTATTTGCTCCGTTGGCGTTGTTTTCTCAACTGACTGAAATTGATTTTTCAAATTAACTTGTAGACTGTCAAAAACGTCCTTAGCACTTGGCCTTAATGATGGCTCGAATTCTGTGCAGGCTTCGTAGATTTCCGCAAGACGCTTCCATTCATTACTCTGCTTTAATACATATTTCTCCTGGGCTATTGGCTTTTGTTTCGCCTTCAAGAAATCTTCCAGGGATTTTCCAGCCTGCTTCATCTTTATATTGATCTGAAAAGGATGCTTCAAACCAGGATTTATTAAATTGAACAACACCATTCCATACGCCCATATATCTGCTTTCTTTAAATCTTCAACTGACGCGGCAGGCAACTGAAAATCGTTTACTAAAAGTTCCGGAGCCATGAAAACCGGAGTTCCCCTGTTAACTTGATTTGTCTTGGAATAAAGAATAGTGTTGGTGCGAATATCTTGCGATCTGCTTTCTCCAAAATCTGTAAGTTTGCAAATCAAAGGTGTCTTATGGCTGATTTCTTCAATTTTGGCAGGGTCGGTTAGCTGACAATAATGCTGGTTTGAGACTAAAATATTGGCAGACTTTAAATCTCTGTGAGTAATGCCACTTTCGTGTAGGTATTGTAGTCCAGACGCGACGTCGCTAGCTGCCCGATAAAACACTTGTTTGTCTATGTTTGCGCACGAGTTTTTGTCCAAGTTCAAGAGGAGATCCGCCAAACAGTTCACTTTAGCCCTTAGACCGAACGGCTTAAAATCAAAATATACATATTCTAGCAGTAGCGCGTACTCGTCGTCACAGATCCGTTTAAACTCTACAATGTTACGATGAACAAGATTGTTCAAAAGTTTGGCTTCCTTTAACATTTTTCTTCATGTTTCTTCTTCGTCTCCTGCGCCAAATAGCTTCTTAACAACGACTTTTTGGTGACACAACAGAATTTCAGCAGTAAAAATTGTTGAAAAGCCCCCTTGTGCTATTTCATCTTTATTAATGAAATCAGCAAAATGGAAGCATGGTAGCCCTTCAACTTCAAGTGTCGGAGAAGTTGTTGAAAAATCATCAGTTTGAGAAACTAAGTTGCCAAATATCGACATCTTCCCAACTTTGAAATCACAGTCAGATCTTGATCTCCGTTGCAATTCCCATGCATTTACATATTGCCCAGACACGAGCAACAGAATGTAGCAAATTTGTTACATTGAATGTCAGTTGTGACATTGAATGTAGCTAATTAAGTTGTGACACGAATGGTGATATGTCTATTATTGTGGCATATGGTAAAACGCGGACTGGACTCAGATTAGTAAAACGCGGACTGGACTCAGATTAGTAAAACGCGGACTGGACTCAGATTAGTAAAACGCGGACTGGACCTCACTGATCTATTATAGTAAACTGGATACAACTTCTGTGACACAAATTACTATAGAAATGTGAACAGTATGGCGAACAACGTGAACTAAGGTGAATTTTGCCAAATGTGAGATACTTTGCGAAGTTTTACCAAACTGGTCGCTCGACAGTGGATAAAAGATGTTATGTTTAATGCTGTTAAAACGAAAATTATCCAGATTGCCTTAAAATATCGTCAGTTTGGTTCGTTCAAAGTTGCCATGCGGGAATAATATTTTATCGCCACAGTGGCATGACAACACGATAATTTCTAGTTTACTCAAGCATACTGTTAAGGTAAAGTAAGTAGTTCGTTTTATCAATTATTTAACCTTGATCAACCAGAGGGTTTCAAACTTTCAATTATCCATCTTTAATACTAAGCCTTTTTACAAAATACGAGGGGTAAATTACTCTGAAAATCTTCGTACACTTCATCAAAAATCCCAAAAAATCTTTGGAAAACTCCCAAAATCTTACTAAATCCCAGAATCCCAAAATCCCAAGAAATCTCTAAAAATTGCATAAAATACTTGGAAAAAGCCCAATAAAATCGTCAAAACTATTGCAATATTGAGAAATCCCATTTAAACATTTAAATCGTGAATTGGCGTGAGAATGTCCCTTGTTGATTTACTTCGTTTTAAAAATAAATCGACGGATTATATGTCGCAAAAAATGTCGGAAAAAGTTCGGCGAAAAAAATAAGCGAAAATATTTCGAAAAAATCAGCTGAAAAAAATCCCAAAAAAATCCCAAAAAAATCCCAGAATCCCGAAAAAAAATCCCAGAATCCCGAGAAAAATTGCCGGGATTTTCTAATCCCAAAAATCCTCGTACGCTTTTTTCAGAGTAATTTACCCCTCGACAAAATATATATACATGTCTTTGTTGTTACTAAATATATTTGTACTTTTTAAATTTATTATTTTGTTAAACTGGAAGGCAACCTTTATAATAAAACTTTCTGTAGAGTGAATCCACTTTTACAATGCAGTATAATGCAGTTGAGTTTTGAATTAGAAAAACTTACAAAATTGATTTAAAATGTGCTGTGTATTTATTATTCAATATTGAAATATATGAACAAATATAAAATATACCATTCAAAGTTAATTTGAAATAATAACCTGCTTTAACCTCAACCACTGATGGACTCGACTCATTGATACAAAAGTAAAATTGTCAGGCAACTATAGGCAGTGTGATCATATTCTGACATTAGAAGACAAATATACTTCATGCTATTTATGAAATTATCTCTAATACTATCTATATATATTATCTATGCTTCAAAAGCATGGTTACCATGGCCAGTTGTTTCCAGTTGTGCTATTTCAACAACTATGTCAAGAAACCCCATGCAGGTGACAAAACACCAGTGCCAGATTAACCATATGGCAGAAGCGGCATATGCCACATGCCCCACGGTTTTCCCTATTTCAGTGCAGGGCCCAACCAAACATAATGCACACTGCACAGCAGGTATACACTTTTACGTATTACTTGTCATATGATATTATTGTTGATACCCATTGTGTCACTTAATTTTAGTACAAATTATTGATGTATACTTCCTTTTTTTGTAAATACACAAATTTCAAGCAACTTCTCAACACGTACAATACAAAAGGATATGTTTATGTTTTTGAATCTTTCTGAATTCAGTGTTTAAAATGCAGGGGGGGCGCTGTCTTGGGTCCTCGCACTGATAAAATGCCACAGGTGGACAGGCCCCGCGAAATGTTAATTAATCTGGCCCTGCAAAACACAACATTGTTGCAACCAGTGTTTCTTTTTTGAATACCCCTGGGGCATATATAAACCAACAAGCACATATATATGCTGGGAATTTGGTGGAAAAGCACCTACAGATATTTTACAATAACAAATGTTTAGATATAAATGAATGATCAAAATTAATAATGAACTTTACACTCTGCATGCCTTTGGAGTCACTGCACTAAAACAATATACACTGTCACTGATTACACTCTACAACTGAAAGTTCAAAATTCAAATGCAATATAAAAGTGGATTCACTCTACAGAAAGCTTTATTAAGGTTGCCTTCCAGTTTAACAAAATGACAAATTTAAAAAGTACAAATATATTTAGTAACAACAAAGACATGTATATATATTTTGTAAAAAGGCTTAGTATTTAAGATGGATAATTGAAAGTTTGAAACCCTCTGGTTGATCAAGGTTAAACATAATTGATAAAACGAACTACTTACTTTACCTTAACAGTATGCTTGAGTAAACTAGAAATTATCGTGTTGTCATGCCACTGTGGCGATAAAATATTATTCCCGCATGGCAACTTTGAACGAACCAAACTGACGATATTTTAAGGCAATCTGGATAATTTTCGTTCTAACAGCATTAACATAACATCTTTTATCCACTGTGGAGCGACCAACTTGGTAAAACTTCGCAAAGTATCTCACATTTGGCAAAATTCACCTTAGTTCACGTTGTTCGCCATACTGTTCACATTTCTATAGTAATTTGTGTCACAGAAGTTATATCCAGTCTACTATTAATAGATCTGTGAGTCCAGTCCGCGTTTTACCTCTATGGTTTTACTAACCTGAGTCCAGTCCGCGTTTTACTAATCTGAGTCCAGTCCGCGTTTTACTAATCTGAGTCCAGTCCGCGTTTTACTAATCTGAGTCCAGTCCGCGTTTTACTAATCTGAGTCCAGTCCGCGTTTTACCAGTCCAGTCCAGTCCGCGTTTTACCATATGCCTATTATTGTTGCATGCGTAAGTCCTGAGATGTGGTAAATTTATAGGTCTGGTGAGAATTATTTGATCGATATTTGGCGCATAAAAGCGCTTGATATATTTGGGGTTTGGAAATAATTGTAGGTAGAATTCATACAAAAGAAGTGGCAATCCTAGTTGAATTGATACTGCACTACTAGTACTTGAAAAAATCTTTAAATTGTTATTACAACCGACTTAAAGGGGCAATGTCACCGATTTTTGAGGAATTCTGACTCTCTCAAAACTTGTACAAAACTGAGAAAGAATGGCTGTAATTACAAAATAAAGCAATAACAAACACAAAAAGCGTATTACTCTTATGTCATACATGAATCCATTTACGATGTTTATTTTCAGAATTACAGTTCACACTGTAAATAAAATGCATTTTTAGTCAAATATGGGTGACATTGCCTCTTTAATTTCGCAAATAATTGTCAGTATAATAGAAATTATTAAATTATAATTTATTATTATTTATTATTATTATTATTATTTTCCCATCCGCGTTTTATCCCCCATCCGCATTTTCCCATCCGCGTTTTATCCCCCATCCGCATTTTCCCATCCGCGTTTTATCCCCCATCCGCATTTTCTCATCCGTATTTTCTCATCCGTATTTTCTCATCCGTATTTTCTCATCCGTATCCGCCACCCGCATCCGTATCCGCCCTTTATCCCTACCCGTTTACTTTTTGACGTTTTGACTGGAGTGGTTTTATCCCCCATCCGCATTTTCCCATCCGCGTTTTATCCCCCATCCGCATTTTCTCATCCGTATTTTCTCATCCGTATTTTCTCATCCGTATTTTCTCATCCGTATCCGCCACCCGCATCCGTATCCGCCCTTTATCCCTACCCGTTTACTTTTTGACGTTTTGACTGGAGTGCTGTAGTTATTTAAAACTATAATGTGTTATTAAAATTAGAATGTCGTTCACATTTGTCCGTTTGTCCAGCGTCAAGTTAAGTATGTTCAATATGTTAAATATCGTCAAATTTTGGAGTCAGTCATTGTGTCTGCTTCCCACTGGCACATCTGCCTGACTCACACTTTTTTTATGCCTTGCACTTTTTTTATGCCTCGCACTTCTACCTCGCATGCTTCCCACTTTTTTTCATGCCTCGCATTGTGCCTCGCATCTTGCCTCATATGCCTTGCATGCCTCGCTGCCTCGCACTATAGTAAAACTCGTCATTTGTTTGTTAGTTTCATAACAGAAGAGTCCAGAAAAATGTCTAGCGTAAAGTGTAAACATATACATGTTCCAACTTATGTACTTTTATTGTATTTACCTAGTTTTAATTCTATTAGTTTACATATGCAGAGAAAGCATTAAACAAAAATGAGAAATTATAAGACTTCAAAAGCTTACAGACTGCAGACATATTAAATATACATTCTGTAACAACACGCGAATTAATTGCTATAAATAGCAACGTTACAGTCTAGTATAATGATATGATGATTTGTTGTGCTTTTGTTCTAAGTAGGCCTATCACTAAAATATATTGAAAATCCTTCTAAACGATTCTTTATAAAGTATATATACAAAGCATATACATTGATATTGAAACACAAAATTCAAAGTTTTGCACAATTTGAGCTTCGTGACTCTGGTATAGACGTATGGGCCTAATGATTTAATTGTGTTACATTCCACTGGAAATCACCAAAATGAGCTTTTTT